AATACGCATCAGTTACAAATATGGTATTCGATTCAATTCCCCATTTTGACAATTGACTTGCAATTACATGTGTGTTTTGTATGGTGGCCGAGAGGGGACATCGCTTTCTCGCTTTCTCGCTCTATCGCTTTCTCGCTTTATCGCTTTCTCGCTCTATCGCTTTCTCGCGGTATAGCAATATTTCCTCTTGGCCGCTATATGTGTTTCTTTACGATAGAAAGTATATACGTAAAACAACATTAATGAATTGTTAAACCTGACCTCAGTGGGGGGAGGGGTTTTAATCATAAAAGAGAGCTGAGATTTTTCAAGTCACATTACAAATTATACATATGGACAGAATGTTGAAATTTTCTCACTATCTACTTAGACATAATTTAACAGTACAGATATGGGTGCTTTTATAACAATCCACGTATTTCTGCGTAAAAAAAAAGAATTTGATTGATTTATGGCCCTATTTAGCAGTTTTATTGGATCCCCCGCCCCCAGGCCAAGTTATCAAAACAAATAGCGCTGAGTAGTACGTACTTCCTAAAAAACAATATTTTTCCCGATAGAGCGAGAAAGCGATAGAGCGATTAAGCGACAGAGCGAGAAAGCGATAGAGCGATTAAGCGACAGAGCGATAGAGCGATAAAGCGATAGATAAAGCGATAAAGCGATAGATAAAGCGATAGAGCGAGAAAGCGATATTTCCCATAATGCCGTACATTAAAACGGTTTTTGCTGATATTTAGTGATCCATTCCTGTAATTCTCACCACAATTTTGCCTCTTATGATTGGATTTTTTAAACATCTTGTGGTAGATAAATATGTTACAAATGCACACATACTTTTTTCTCGTTGAGTTTGTATATTTTCTTGTAGTGTAGTAAATACGCAAGATTCACAGAATACAGATAGTCAATGTTCATATTTTAATTTTGTACATAATAACCCCCCCAAAAAAATTAACTACGTCTGTACAGTTAAATTATGTTTTAAGTAAACAGTGAGAAAAGTTCCCTCCCAATTGGAGCAGATATCACATGAGGCCCCTATAAAGGTCAAGAGCGGATATTGCTTAACCGCGAGAAAGCGATAGAGCGAGAAAGCGATAAAGCGAGAAAGCGATAGAGCGAGAAAGCGATGTCCCCTCTCGTCCACCATAGTTTTGTGTGTCACAGAATACACTCAACCTTTTGGGAACACCTGGTATGATTAATATTTGATACTGATTCATGCTCATGATACAGTCGGGACTACAGATGACACACTCTATATATCATACAACTGCAACCTTTACACCCTACACCTGCAGTCAACAGAACACATCCTACACCTGCACGGCGCCCAGTAAACCTACACCTGGTATACGGTTGGTGGTACAGGATTTAGTTGGTTTGTTGCTTAACGCCGCACTCAGCAATATTCCAGCTATATGACGGCGGACTGTAAATAATCGAGTCTGGGCCAGACAATCCAGTGATTGATATCATGAGCATCGATCCACGCAATTGGGATCGATGACATGCATCAACCAAGTCAGCGAGCCTGACCACCCGGCCCCGTTAGTCGCCTCTTACGACAAGCATAGTCGCCTTTACCAGCATGCATGGGTGGCTGAAGACCTATTCTAACCCGGATCTTCACGGGTCGGATGGTACAGGAAGTCGTGTGGGTTGTGTGCGGGTGATACAGCGTCTGGGTTGTATACGGCTGGTTGGCTGGGTGGTACAGGGAGTCGCGGTTGTGTATGGGTTGTGTGGGGCTGGTTCTTTAACATGTTGATAAACTGCGAATGTATTATTGACCAGAAATTGACCCAGATTCAATTCAATAGAAGGACCAAGGTTTTACAGTTGAATTTTATAAACTGACCTTTTGAATCTAATGCTGTTTTTTGACTGTTTTGAAATCGCCATTTTTTACATGAATATTCCATGTCGTGAATTGAACCTGCAATCTCACATTTCGTGTTGAGTTTCGTGTTTTTTTTCCCACTGAGCCAGCGGAGTAGGTGGTGAAAAGGTGTTCAATCTTACATGTCATGACTTCAGTTGTGTCTTTCTCTCTCACGCTTTCATCGAATTCCTTTTATACCCCGAAGCACGTACTGTATTGTTTCTCTGTAAGGTATCCCAATGTCTTCTTATCCATGCTGGTATTTCTTGCATTTAGACGAGTTGAATATAAAAACCCTCCTCGGGCTTAACTGAGAATGTAAGCCCGGGGCATCGGGCTTTTCGGTCCTCCCAAATATTCCTCTGCCCTGGGCTTACATTTTCAGTCAAACCCTCGGAGTTTACCCCTTTCATCCTTTACCTGACGAACTTGTGTCATTCCGGGACAAGACGTGCCCCTCTCGAAGATTTCCATATTGGCATACGAACACCAGAACTACTTCAAACAAGAAGGATAACACTTATTCTACCCGATTCTTATTGTAAAATGTAGAAGTTATAGCAGCGCACATTTATTCCGGTTGTCAAACCATTGAACCTCTCTGGTATAAATATAGATTCTATCATTTTGAAAAAGAAAATATTTGGCAAACAATATAACATTCATTCATTTTCAGCTGCCGTGACTGAATTTGTCCTTTCGTGGACAAAGGTAACAAATACTATACAAGTCTTTGAATGGCATTTAGAAGTGATACACATGGTATAGGAAAAAAATGGATGTCAACCTCTTTATTATGAGGAACACAACGTTAAAGTATTTGCTTACTCAATCGCGAGAATACAGCCCGGGCTGTCAAAACCAACATTAACGTCACCGATGTATCATTAAATATGTTTACACCTATAGACTAGTAATATATCTTCCTAGATACCACTTTATAATGCACTGTTCGTCATACATAAAGGAAACGTGTTGCTTAAAGTGAAGCCATTTCCTCTATATTCTCAGTCTCCAAGAAACGTTTGATCTTTGTTCGATCCGACTTGGCCCAGGTGGCTAAAAACAACTTCAATTTGACAGGTGTTTACATCTATAACATGGTATTATATTTCCCTAAATACCACTTTATAATGTCACTGTTCATCGTTCACATTCTCAACATGTCTCACAGAGAGGTGATTGGTCTGTGTTCGGTCCGACTTGGCCCGGGGATTTAAAGCAACTCAAACCTCACAGATGTATCATCAAATTATTTATACCTAAGGAATAGTTTTATACCTACCAAATATCACTCAGTAAGGTCACAGTACATCGTGTAAACACTTACACAATTAGCAATTCTCCAATCGTAAATACTAGGTAGAAAACGAATGCTTTGAATCATAAATGATACAACTGCTAAATGAATAGTAAAAGCCTCGCATTGTTCAGTTTACTGATCATTGTAACTATGGGTTTAGTGACCTGGTATATTAACATTTGTCATCAACAGGTGATGACAAGATCCCACACCAGTCACAAGCGGCGAAAGGAGAAACGCGTCAAAGGATTATTCAAAACAATTAGATTCTGACAGGTTGCGAAGCCTAAGACGAACTACTGAAGATCATGAAGCTCCTTATCGTGACACTGTTACTGCAAGGCCACTTTCGGTGTTACAACTATACAAAACCCAACCTTCCTAACCCAACCATCACCCATGTACTACAGTGTATGTTTATGTCCCAAATTAAGCGCAAAATAAGACAAAGAGAGAGAATTTTTCACTCTTAGCCAAGAAAAAATTACAATTTGTGTTATAACCATAGCAACAACAATCCTTAAATAGCAATTTGGTATCACACTTTTCACCCCTACGATGCAGTGGAGTTAGCAACAAAATGAAAAGGCAGAGAACTGTTCACAAACAAAAACCAATTTCTACAAAGATGACATGAAATAAAACCAGCAGTTGAACATATAGAAAGCAGAATAAGTGATGTGAAAAATGATAAAAGACATTGAGTTCATTTATCGCAAGTTGACGACGCGCATAGGGAGCCAGGAACCAGCTTAGGGACAGTGTAGCGCCAGCGCAGCATAACCAGGGAACCAGACTGAGCTACACTGAACGCAAGCGCTCAAGGGCAGGCAAACCAGTCAATGTTTAGCACAGTTAAGCCAAGAGTGTTCTCCCTTCAGTTGTGCCGGAACACGTTTCTAGGTCATAAATGGGAGTGATATCAAAATAAATAATAACAAGTTTACATACGCAATTTTATTTTTAAACATTGAATTTGCGTACCAAATACGAAAAGGTGGTTGGGAGGCTCATTAATGTTTAGAGTTTTAACGTACAACTACATAATTAAGGGACTGGTAATTTATTACAGGGGAAGGGGTGGGGGAGCGGTGAGATTGGCCTAAGGACTCTCTCTCTCTCTCTCTCCTATTTTGTTTAGAACTTGCACTCTTTGTTATTAAACCACAATGATTTTAATAATCTCCTATTCAACATTGCATGTGGATCTACACAAGCGCGAGATATTTTACTTCGGCGCTTTCTAAGGTTCATGGAAAGTGTGTGTTTGAACAGGAAACTGTTAATATATGTTGTTTCCGATTGTTCTCTCAGTTTGGAGGTTGGATATGAACATTTTCCTCGGTCTTGACTGAGAATGTAAGCCCCGAAATTGGGGAGGTCAGAAGGAGATTTTTAATACTTTACAAAAAAACAACACAATACTGAGTGCTTGCATGTCACTGTATCCTAATTGAGTGGGTCGTTGCTCATAATATCAATCATTGGTTTCGATACTGATTTTGAGAATGGAATAGTGTGGAATGCAGCATTAAATGACAAGCAAATTTATCATTGATAAACACAAACAAGTTTTCAATAAAGAATGTATTCAATCAATCTAACCATTTGGTAACCTTCAGGCTGTTGCAGTAGCGTAAAATCAGCTGACCACCCCACCATGACAACCAGCAGGAAAGATGGATCTCAGAACAAGGATAGCTCATGCACAGTTTCAATATCATAGGCCTGGTAATGTCAGGAAATGCAGAACATTTAGAGGCATATGATAAAATGGCCGTTTGGGAGAGAAAACGAACACCTTCTACATAAATATCAATGTTTTATTTGGTATCAATTGGAAATACAAAAATATACATAAAGACTTTCAAGAAATACATGGATTATTTAAAGGATACCTCAATATGTTCTGTTGAAAGACAATATGTGTTAACCATGTTAATTGTTCAATATGCCAGATAAAGGGATAAACAATGGAGTCATTCAGCTCTGCAGGACACCATAATCTTCTTCAAATTTTGCTACATCATAGGATAAATGTCCTACAGCACAGGAGCATAGTGTTATGAATGGGGCATATTGAATTTTAATTTTTACACAGCATGGTACTGGTATGTACATCGTGTATATTCTATGATATAAATAGTAATAATCTGAGAGGACTTGCGAGAGTGAAATCTGGATGTGAAATTGGCCACAGATCAGAATCAAACCATTAAAGTGAGAGTTATTAGTTTGTGTAACCAGGGCCTCCATATAAAGACTCCCTGGTGTAATACAGTAATACAGGTACTGTAGGAAAACACTGTTAGCCTAGAGGCTTCCTATCATGACAACTTCCCATATTGAAATATGGCCTTCCCCCACTGTGGTTTAAAAGAGTTTCAGTTTTGAAATATATGACTAATATATGTACACTGAAGTACCAAAGGAATTGGTTAGCAATATAAATTAAGTATGGAATCTGTCTGGCTGAAGTAGAAACTAAATTTACTTGTCCAGGCAAGTAATCTAACAAAATCTACCTATTTGGAGGCTACTTCTCCATGTTCTGGTACAAAACATGGTATGGTCATCTGTGTTAAACCTGTCTTTTTGAGTTTTTATTTGCTTTACCAAATACAAATCACACAATTATTCAACACAATACACACCTTGAATGTTTGGTATCTTTAAGGATTGATTATCAATAATCCTACCAATGTTAATGACATTAGCATACAGTGGAACCCCTCTTATCAGTACCCCCAGATATCCGGAAACCTAGCCCACTGGATGATATTTATGTGAAACAAAATATATACCACATAAAATGCTTTGTTTATCCAGAAGTCCAGTGAATTTCAACTATCAACAGTGCAAAATACACATTATTAGGGTCCCACTTACCAGACTGTGACCACGCTTGATGTTGTTTGTTTTGCAATTCATCACCCGGCATACAACATCAAAGAGCTGGGTATCATGCGATCATAGTTTTTAATCATGTTAACTGAAAAGGCATTAAGATATCCGGGAAATTGTTTATCCAGACATTATTTGAGAAAACATAAGTGTCCAGACTGTATATTGGGCATATCAAGTATCTACAAAAATACAGTACAGGCAAAATACTGCATTACAATGAGACAAACAAGTGAATAAATTATTCAGGCTATCCTGACTAAATACCAGAATGTAGACATTTCATTTTGGTCCTGCAATGAAATATAAAAATCCACTTTTGATGTCTGACAATCTAACACAAAAGAGTGGGCATTGTATTTTCACACCCTAGCACATCAAATTTAGCATGGATACATAAAGAATAGGTCAAAACTAAATTATTTGGTAATCTCAAAGTTTCATCATCATTGATATTTTTGGTTACAGAGTTTTCCAAACCACTGTAAAACCAGATCAAGGTTTAAAGGGGTATGTTAAGGGGAAAAATCATAGAAGGACAAAAAACATCAGATATGCACCTGAAATGTAACATATATGCTACTGGGGAGCAAATTTCATTATATAAAGGCAGCTTTTGGAGGGTCAAGTTCCATAAGTGTTTTGGAATTTAGTCAGTATTTGTGAGACCTTATAATAGTTCCACACAGTGTCTGTGCGATTTTGCCACTTACATTCATGACTCCCAAGCAAATGACACAATTTTTCAGTCATATTGGAAGTATCTGGAAAGCAGTTCATGTTCATTTCACTTCTTGAGATTATAGATTCTAGTCCGGAGATTTCATTCTGCGGGGCATGCTGAGAGACACTGGCTCTCTGTCCAGTGGGGCCTTCCTGGTACCAGTAACTTGTCACATAACCGTTTTCACAGGACTGCCTTTCTCGATTAGCATCGACAGTGTTTCTCAAAATAGTTGAAACCTATCAAAAACACAGCTCCAAATATTGTCAACTTGTCTTTTACACCAATATCCTTAATATCTGCAACACAGAAAATATTTAATTAGAACACATATGAGACATTACATTAATTGTTGCAAAATGCTTGGTTAACATGTTCTACAATAGCAATTGCTGGCTTTTTATGAAATCAAACCACATTGCATAGATTATTAATCCAAAAGCTATGGAACTTCAGACTTAACACTCAGATTGTTGTTGCTTTAACAGCTGTTTTAAGTGAACAAGCAAGTTTTAAACATATACTTTGTTTTCTTGTTGAAAATATCCATTTCAATAATTATATATATTAAAACTGTAATGCAAGGAATAGAACCACTTGAACAGGTGTCATTCATGCTGTTAGTGTTGACATGTATGTGAAGGGCCAGCTTCATCAGTCAATTAGTTTCTGAAGAAAACCAGTTGACAGAAGATGGCTGATGTTATAAGCCTCGGATTCTATTGAGTGTGAGCTAACATGTCTGTATCTTAAATCACTCACATGTTAGAGAGAAATCATTAGCAGCACCAATAATGTCCCTGCATCCAGTCCAGTGCTTGGATAGATCAGCAACCTTGTCCTCCTTCTCCCTGGGGCCCTCATACACCTTGTGCCACAGAGAATCACACACTGAATTAATTAGTAGATATCTCCACAACCTCTACACATGCAGACGACAGATATCACCTCAGACATGGAATGGGATATCAGCACACCACCAGCGGTAGAAACTAAATTTACAGTCCTTAATGCGATGATAACACTTAGCAAAACCCTTAAAATTGGCAAATTCTACTTATGATACCTTATCTACTGGGCAGTTTGGCAAGGACTACAAGACTAGTGCAGAAAACTGACATGGAATGTGAAATCAGCATAACACTGACATGGAATGTGATATCAGCATATCACTGAAATGGAATGTGATATCAGCATAACACTGACATGGAATGTGATATCAGCATAACACTGACATGGAATGTGAAATCAGCATATCACTGAAATGGAATGTGATATTAGCATATCACTGAAATGGAAAGTGATATCAGCATATCACTGACATGGAATGTGATATCAGCATAACACTGAAATGGAATGTGATATCAGCATAACACTGAAATGGAATGTGATATCAGCATAACACTGACATGGAACGTGATATCAGCATAACACTGAAATGGAATGTGATATCAGCATATCACTGAAATGGAATGTGATATCAGCATAACACTGACATGGAATGTGATATCAGCATATCACTGAAATGGAATGTGATATCAGCATAACACTGAAATGGAATGTGGTATCAGCATAACACTGAAATGGAATGTGATATCAGCATATCACTGAAATGGAATGTGATATCAGCATATCACTGAAATGGAATGTGATATCAGCATAACACTGAAATGGAATGTGATATCAGCATAACACTGAAATGGAATGTGATATCAGCATATCACTGAAATGGAATGTGATATCAGCATATCACTGACATGGAATGTGATATCAGCATAACACGGAAATGGAATGTGATATCAGCATAACACTGAAATGGAATGTGGTATGAGCATAACACTGAAATGGAATGTGATATCAGCATAACACTGACATGGAATGTGATATCAGCATATTACTGAAATGGAAAGTGATATCAGCATATCACTGAAATGGAATGTGATATCAGCATAACACTGAAATGGAATGTGATATCAGCATAACACTGAAATGGAATGTGGTATCAGCATAACACTGAAATGGAATGTGATATCAGCATAACACTGACATGGAATGTGATATCAGCATATCACTGAAATGGAATGTGGTATCAGCATAACACTGAAATGGAATGTGATATCAGCATATCACTGAAATGGAATGTGGTATCAGCATAACACTGACATGGCATGTGATATCAGCATATCACTGAAATGGAATGTGATATCAGCATATCACTGACATGTTATATGACAACCATAACACTCACGTGAAATGTGACATCACCACAAGCCCGACAATGGCAGCAGTCCCCGACTATTGTGTACAGCAAACCTTCCTTCAGGTTGTAAACATTGTAGACAGGGGCCCCACAGCTCCATCTGACAGAACAATCAACACCTGAACATTAGCACATGAACATTAGCATACTTGACAATACAACATTTGACAACAGCACAATGGATATCAGCAACTGAACATCAGCAACTGAACATCAGCAACTGGACATCAGCAACTGAACATCAGCAACTGGACATCAGCACACTGAACATCAGGAACTGGATATCAGGAACTGGACATCAACAACTGAATATCAACAAATATTGACAGTAGCGGGTGACCTCGCCTAGATGAACACTTCCAGGCTGACTGTTGTTCATTTCCCGATGAACGTCAGTATGTCACGTGATTACGTTGTCAATCGAGACATACAGAACTACTTTAGGGGAATTCCTCAATCTCAAAAATAACATTAAAAATCATTAGGGACAACTGACAACATCAATGCCAGCTATGAATAATACAGGCTTTGAATCCAGACAGATCATATATGTCCAAAAGCGTCCATTCAAAGCTATAACAGAGAATGCTCAACTTAGCTAAAGAAATCACTGATCTCCACACTGTCGTGTATATTGCTTTGGGAAATCCAACCGTGCTGCCTCAAGCGGTTTTCCCCATCAGCAGCAGCTGTAGTATGACTTATGCACACACCCAAAGTTCACAGAACGTCAATATCAATCCATTTTCAGCATCAGCTGGGTCTGGATTTCTCTCCAACTCTAAGAACTTTTTCTGGGTGCTCATTTCAAGTGAATGACATTTCCGTAGCCGCCATTTTCTACCGTTTGTAAAACCAAGGGATGTCACTCCAAATGGAATGTTTGGGACGGATGATGTCATGACATCACGACTCTCCGTGTTGATATAGATCGCTTTAAATAATTCTAGTTTGATGTTTAATGGATAGTTTTGTTATTATTTATGTATCTGTCAATATAAGGATTGAAGTTCTTCGCACATCATGGAATTTGCTTACGTGAGTCACTGTCTTCATCAGCTGATAAACGTCAACAAATACAACTTCAATCCTCAAGTGAACATCAGTAACTGAACATCAGTAACTAGATATGAGCAACTGGACATCAGCAACTGAACATCAGCAACCTAACATCAGCACACTGAACATCGGCAACTGAAGATCAGCACACTGGACATCAGCAAACTGGACATCAGCAAACTGGACATCAGCACACTGGACATCAGCAACTGAACATCAGCACACTGGACATCAGCAACTGGACATAAGCACACTGAACATCAGCACACTGGACATCAGCACACTGAACATCAGCACACTGAACATCAGCAACCGAACATCAGCACACTGAACATCAGCAACTGAACATCAACACAGTGGACATCAGCAACTGAACATCAGCACAGTGGACATCAGCAACTGAACATCAGCACACTGGACATCAGCACACTGGACATCAGCACACTGGACATCAGCACACTGAACATCAGCACACTGGACATCAGCACACTGGACATCAGCACACTGGACATCAGCAACTGAACATCAGCAACCGAACATCAGCACACTGAACATCAGCAACTGAACATCAGCACAGTGGACATCAGCAACTGAACATCAGCACACTGGACATCAGCACACTGGACATCAGCACACTGGACATCAGCACACTGGACATCAGCAACTGATCATCAGCAACCGAACATCAGCACACTGAACATCAGCAACTGAACATCAACACAGTGGACATCAGCAACTGAACATCAGCACAGTGGACATCAGCAACTGAACATCAGCAACCTAACATCAGCACACTGAACATCGGCAACTGAACATCAGCACACTGGGCACCAGCACACTGAACATCAGCACACTGGACATCAGCAACCGAACATCAGCACACTGGGCATCAGCAACTGGACATCAGAAACTGGAAATCAGCAACTGGACAATACAACAATTGATATCCTCACACTGGACAACAGCACACTGGAGTGCGAGACAAGACGTTTGCATATGACAATAGCTGCAAGGATTCTCAGATTTCTTTGCATTGATTACTTACATTTCTCTGACTGTGCCTATCGGAGTCCCTGGAGGAGAGTGGATGGCCATCTCCTGTAGATGACAGCACATCCAACAACAGCGAGTTGAGCATCGTAACGGTCGGTGGAGAGAGATCACATCTTGGGATTCGTTGTCACTAAATTTCAACACAAGTCCACGAGAAGAACCCAAAACCTTACGTGCCAAACAAACACCAACTGCAACACAAACACTACATGTTACACTGTGAATCATCTCCTGCAATCACACACCAACTGCAACACAAACACTACACATGTTACACTGTGAATCATCTCCCGCAATCACACACCAACTGCAACACAAACACTACACATGTTACACTGTGAATCATCTCCTGCAATCAAACACCAACTGCAACACAAACACTACATCTTACACTGTGAATCATCTCCTGCAACACAAACACTACACATGTTACACTGTGAATCATCTCCTGCAATCACACACCAACTGCAACACAAACACTACACATGTTACACTGTGAATCATCTCCCGCAATCACACACCAACTGCAACACAAACACTACACATGTTACACTGTGAATCATCTCCTGCAATCAAACACCAACTGCAACACAAACACTACATCTTACACCGTGAATCATCTCCTGCAACACAAACACTACACATGTTACACTGTGAATCATCTCCTGCAATCACACACCAACTGCAACACAAACACTACATGTTACACTGTGAATCATCTCCTGCAATCAAACACCAACTGCAACACAAACACTACACATGTTACACTGTGAATCATCTCCTGCAATCACACACCAACTGCAACACAAACACTACATGTTACACTGTGAATCATCTCCTGCAATCACACACCAACTGCAACACAAACACTACACATGTTACACTGTGAATCATCTCCTGCAATCACACACCAACTGCAACACAAACACTACATGTTACACTGTGAATCATCTCCTGCAATCACACACCAACTGCAACACAAACACTACACATGTAACACTGTGAATCATCTCCTGCAATCACACACCAACTGCAAAACAAACACTACACATGTTACACTGTGAATCATCTCCTGCAATCACACACCAACTGCAACACAAACACTACATGTTACACTGTGAATCATCTCCTGCAATCACACACCAACTGCAACACAAACACTACACATGTTACACTGTGAATCATCTCCTGCAATCACACACCAACTGCAACACAAACACTACACATGTTACACTGTGAATCATCTCCTGCAATCACACACCAACTGCAACACAAGCACTACACATGTTACACTGTGAATCATCTCCTGCAATCAAACACCAACTGCAACACAAACACTACACATGTTACACTGTGAATCATCTCCTGCAATCACACACCAACTGCAACACAAACACTACACATGTTACACTGTGAATCATCTCCTGCTATCACACACCAACTGCAACACAAACACTACACATGTTACACTGTGAATCATCTCCTGCTATCACACACCAACTGCAACACAAACACTACATGTTACACTGTGAATCATCTCCTGCAATCACGAACCAACTGCAACACAAACACTACACATGTTACACTGTGAATCATCTCCTGCTATCACACACCAACTGCAACACAAACACTACACATGTTACACTGTGAATCATCTCCTGCAATCACACACCAACTGCAACACAAACACTACATATGTAACACTGTGAATCATCTCCTGCAATCACACACCAACTGCAACACAAACACTACACATGTTACACTGTGAATCATCTCCTGCAATCACACACCAACTGCAACACAAACACTACACATGTTACACTATTAATCATCTCCTGCAATCACACACCAACTGCAACACAAACACTACCCATGTTACACTGTGAATCATCTCCTGCTATCACACACCAACTGCAAAACAAACACTACACATGTTACTTTGTGAATCATCTCCTGCAATCACACACCAACTGCAACACAAACACTACACATGTTACACTGTGAATCATCTCCTGCTATCACACACCAACTGCAAAACAAACACTACACATGTTACTTTGTGAATCATCTCCTGCAATCACACACCAACTGCAACACAAACACTACACAAGTTACACTGTGAATCATCTCCTGCTATCACACACCAACTGCAACACAAACACTACACATGTTACACTGTGAATCATCTCCTGCAATCACACACCAACTGCAACACAAACACTACACATGTTACACTGTGAATCATCTCCTGCAATCACACACCAACTGCAACACAAACACTACACATGTTACACTGTGAATCATCTCCTGCTATCACACACCAACTGCAACACAAGCACTACACATGTTACACTGTGAATCATCTCCTGCAATCAAACACCAACTGCAACACAAACACTACACATGTTACACTGTGAATCATCTCCTGCAATCACACACCAACTGCAACACAAACACTACACATGTTACACTGTGAATCATCTCCTGCTATCACACACCAACTGCAACACAAACACTACACATGTTACACTGTGAATCATCTCCTGCTATCACACACCAACTGCAACACAAACACTACATGTTACACTGTGAATCATCTCCTGCTATCACGAACCAACTGCAACACAAACACTACACATGTTACACTGTGAATCATCTCCTGCTATCACACACCAACTGCAACACAAACACTACACATGTTACACTGTGAATCATCTCCTGCAATCACACACCAACTGCAACACAAACACTACATATGTAACACTGTGAATCATCTCCTGCAATCACACACCAACTGCAACACAAACACTACACATGTTACACTGTGAATCATCTCCTGCAATCACACACCAACTGCAACACAAACACTACACATGTTACACTATTAATCATCTCCTGCAATCACACACCAACTGCAACACAAACACTACCCATGTTACACTGTGAATCATCTCCTGCTATCACACACCAACTGCAAAACAAACACTACACATGTTACTTTGTGAATCATCTCCTGCAATCACACACCAACTGCAACACAAACACTACACATGTTACACTGTGAATCATCTCCTGCTATCACACACCAACTGCAAAACAAACACTACACATGTTACTTTGTGAATCATCTCCTGCAATCACACACCAACTGCAACACAAACACTACACAAGTTACACTGTGAATCATCTCCTGCTATCACACACCAACTGCAACACAAACACTACACATGTTACACTGTGAATCATCTCCTGCAATCATACACCAACTGCAACACAAACACTACACATGTCACACTGTGAATCATCTCCTGCAATCAAACACCAACTGCAACACAAACACTACACATGTTACACTGTGAATCATCTCCTGCTATCACACACCAACTGCAACACAAACACTACACATGTTACACTGTGAATCATCTCCTGCAATCACACACCAACTGCAACACAAACACTACACATGTTACACTGTGAATCATCTCCTGCAATCAAACACCAACTGCCACACAAACACTACACATGTTACACTGTGAATCATCTCCTGCTATCACGAACCAACTGCAACACAAACACTACACATGTTACACTGTGAATCATCTCCTGCAATCACACACCAACTGCAACACAAACACTACACATGTTACACTGTGAATCATCTCCTCCTATCACACACCAACTGCAAAACAAACACTACACATGTTACACTGTGAATCATCTCCTGCAATCACACACCAACTGCAACACAAACACTACACATGTTACACTGTGAATCATCTCCTGCAATTAAACACCAACTGCAACACAAACACTACACATGTTACACTATTAATCATCTCCTGCAATCACACACCAACTGCAACACAAACACTACACATGTTACACTGTGAATCATCTCCAGCTATCACACACCAACTGCAACACAAACACTACATGTTACACTGTGAATCATCTCCTGCAATCACACACCAACTGCAACACAAACACTACACATGTTACACTGTGAATCATCTCCTGCTATCACACACCAACTGCAACACAAACACTACATGTTACACTGTGAATCATCTCCTGCAATCACACACCAACTGCAACACAAACACTACACATGTTACACTGTGAATCATCTCCTGCAATCACACACCAACTGCAACACAAACACTACATGTTACACTGTGAATCATCTCCTGCTATCACGAACCAACTGCAACACAAACACTACACATGTTACACTGTGAATCATCTCCTGCAATCACACACCAACTGCAACACAAACACTACACATGTAACACTGTGAATCATCTCCTGCAATCACACACCAACTGCAACACAAACACTACACATGTTACACTGTGAATCATCTCCTGCTATCACACACCAACTGCAACACAAACACTACACATGTTACACTGTGAATCATCTCCTGCAATCACACACCAACTGCAACACAAACACTACATGTTACACTGTGAATCATCTCCTGCAATCAAACACCAACTGAAACACAAGCACTACACATGTTACACTGTGAATCATCTCCTGCAATCAAACACCAACTGCAACACAAACACTACACATGTAACACTGTGAATCATCTCCTGCAATCACACACCAACTGCAACACAAACACTACATGTTACACTGTGAATCATCTCCTGCAATCAAACACCAACTGCAACACAAACACTACACATGTAACACTGTGAATCATCTCCTGCAATCACACACCAACTGCAACACAAACACTACATGTTACACTGTGAATCATCTCCTGCAATCACACACCAACTGTAACACAAACACTACACATGTTACACTGTGAATCATCTCCTGCAATCACACACCAACTGCAACACAAACACTACACATGTTACACTGTGAATCATCTCCTGCAATCACACACCAACTGCAACACAAGCACTACACATGTTACACTGTGAATCATCTCCTGCAATCACACACCAACTGCAACACAAACACTACACATGTTACACTGTGAATCATCTCCTGCAATCACACACCAACTGCAACACAAGCACTACACATGTTACACTGTGAATCATCTCCTGCAATCACACACCAACTGCAACACAAACACTACACATGTTACACTGTGAATCATCTCCTGCAATCAAACACCAACTGCAACACAAACACTACATGTTACACTGTGAATCATCTCCTGCAATCA